AAGCAGAGAAGTGGGCATGGACAGATCAACAAGGTGTGTGAGCCAGGATAAAGTATTTGGATTTTGTTGTGATTGTGATGGGAAGCTTCAATTAAAGAGGACAGTGACATTATTTGATATGCATTTTAGAAAGTCATTCTTTGCTTCTGTGTAGTTTGTGGATTATAGGGAAGCCAAAGTAAAACAGGGAGAGCAACCAGGAAACTCCTATGCTGGTCTAGACAGGAGATGAAGATGAAGGTGCTATGGACCAGGGGGATAATGGAAAGAAGTGGCAGATTTAGGCTCTGCTTTGGTGGTAGACATATCAAGATTTTCTGGTGGATTGGCTGGAAGAAAGGGAAGTGATGAGATAAAGAGAGAAATCAAAGGTAATGCCAAGATTTTTTTGTTTGATCCAATGAAGTTCCTAGTAGTAGTAAATACTGAGACAGGAAAATTGGCAGAGAAGCAGTTTCGAACATAAAAAAAGGAAAGCTTTGTTTGGGCCTTGTTAAGTTAAAGATGCTCATTAGACCTGCAAGGAGAACTGTATGGATGGTTTGTTGTGCAGGTCTGGAAATCTGGGAAAATGTTCATGCAGGAGAGATAGGCTTGGGGGTCTTGGGCAGAGGGTTGAAATTTAAAGCCAGGAGACTGGCTGAGATGCCTTCCAGGCTGTGTGGGACAAATAACAAGAGGGACCCTAGAACAAAGCAGGAGCACTCTAACATTAAGTTATGCAGTAGAAAAGTCAAAGGAGTCTGAGAAGGAATGCTCATCGAGGAGAAAAGCCAGAAAGTATACTGTTAAAGGAAGCCAAGAGAAGAAAATAATTTGAGGAGAGAATGGCCAACTGTTCTCAATGTAAACAAGAGTCAAAGTCAAACCAATAAGGCTGTTCATTAATTAGGAAACAGGTAGGTCATTAACATTAACATTAACATTAACATTAACATTAACATTAACATTAACATTAACATTAACATGAGCAGTCTCATTGGAGTAGGTCAGGAGGCTTTTTGGCGAGGGGAAGGAGGTTTGATTACTTGTCTGGAGTGGCCTAAGAAGAAAATGCAAGGCAAGACAGTGAAACCACCACAGGTGTAAAAGCCATTTTGGACAAAGAAAGACCAGAGAAGAGAAAGCAGACCAGGCAAGGGAAACAGGATGCCTGCAGCCAGTGTTGAGTGCCTCAGTGAACCTTGTGGTTATTAAGATGAGGTGAGTGCGATTGCCCTAGCTCTACACGGGGGTGTCGACGGGGCGCGGGAGGGGGGCGCGGGAGGGGGGCGCGGGGTTGCTCCAGCGCTGTTTTCCTGCTCCTGCGGGGCACACAGTGTGTGAATAGCTGGGTTCCTGTTCTGCTAGATGAAAACAACGGACAAAGAAGAGAGGGGAAGAAATTAAGCATATTCATAAGTGGGAGAGGCTATAAAGTTGGATCATGGACTTTAAGTTAGGGTTTTTTTTTTTTTTTAAGATTTTATTTATTTATTTGACAGAAATCACAAGTAGGCAGTGAGGCAGGCAGAGAGAGAGGGGGAGGCAGGCTCCCTGCCTGCGGGGCTCAATCCCAGGACCCTGGGATCACGACCTGAGCCAAAGGCAGAAGCTTTAACCCACTGAGCCATCCAGGCACCCCTTAAGTTAGGTTTTGATGGAAATGAGGATCTAGAAATGGTTGGTAGTACGAAGGTGAGAGGAGCCAATGGACTGGAGGTCTTGGAGTCAAAGAATGAATGGAGTATGAATGGAGAGAGCTCAATAGACAGGGATTAGTGGCCAGGCAGGGTAAGCAGAACAGTTATGTGTGGGAGCTGCTAAATTAGAGACATGAATATCTCACCCATTGCTTATTTTCTTTTGAGCAATTAAGTTCTCTAGGGTATTATTCCAGTCATATCATAAGCTGCAGGGGAACACACAAACTTTTGAAGAACCCATCTAGCTGAACAGGTGAGAGTGTCTTCTAATATTAGGGAAGAAATTCCACAGGAGAATTCCTGTGTGGAAGGCCTTAGCATGTGACATTAATAAGCAGCTTTAAACTAAATTAACTTTTGAAAAATAAACAAAAGAGAAACAAACTTCACTTTAAATGGGAAAAAAGAAAACCTGTTTCCTTTCTCTACTTAGAACACACTATTTTTTAGGATTAAAAAAGATTTCTTAAAAAGATTTTTAGTTATTTATTTGTCAGAAAAAGAGAGGAGAAAGAGAGTGAGCACAAGCAGGGGGAGTGGCAGGCAGAACAGGGAGAGGGAGAAGCAGGCTCCCCTCTGAGCATGGAGCCAGAGAAGGGACTCAGTCCCAGGACCCTGGGATCATGAACTGAGCCAAAGGCAGATGCTTCACTGACTGAGCCACCTAGGTGTGCCCCCCTTTTTATTTTAATTGTTAAGTAATCTCTACATCCAGTGTGGGGCTCCACCCACAGCCCCAAGTTGAAGAGTCATATGCTTTACCGACTGAGCTGGCAGGTGCCCCTACTTAAAATCTCTTCTAACACTGACTGTGTGGGGCTTTATTCTACACCAAGTGATTTGCCAATTCTCCAGACACCAACTGGGTATCCTGCAATTCAATTCAATTCTGATATTAACTACGTGGGGTTAGGGCAGGCCCTCCAAGTTCAGGGCTTAGTCCTACAGGATTGACCCCCAACATCAGACATCAGTCCCAAGTTCCAGGCTGTCACCTATGCTTTGGACCAATTGGCTATAAATTGAGGGTTCCTGCAACACCCTCCTCATGATTGATTGTTTGCTATAACAACTCGCAGAACTTAGGGAAACACTTTACTATGACTGGTTTGTTACAAAAGATGGAAGTCAGGGGCAGCCAAATGGAAGGGATGTATAGGGCAAGATTTGGGGGAAGGGGTGCAGATCTTCCCTGTTCTCTTTTGGCACATCATACCTTGATGTGTTCACTAACCTGGAAGCTCTCCAAATCTCATGGTTTAGGATTTTGATGGAGGTTCTATTACACAGTCAGGTTTGATTAAATCAATGACCATTAGTAATTAACTGTTTTGGCTCCTCTTCCCTCCTGGAGGTGGGGGGATGATGGACCTGAAAATTGCAACCTGCTAATCATGCCTTGATCTTTCTGGAGATTAGCCTTCATCCTAAAATTACCTAGCAATCCCCAACCACCAGTCACCTCATTAGCATACAGACACTCTTATCCTTGTGGCTATTCCAAGGATCTTAGAAGCTTTGGTGTCAGAAATTAGGGTCAAAGATTAAATATTAGAACAAAAGATGCTCCTAGCACCCTTTCAGTCAGGGAATTACCAGGGTCTTAGGAACTCTGTCAGTAACTTGGTACACAGACCAGCTAAGTATTTATTATGCCACATAGTTTTATCACCCTATATTGGTCAAAGTATTTCCCATGTTGTCTGAAAATAAAGTACCTGTCTTTATTGTCAGGTCTATAGTGTCTGGGAAGATGGAAAGTGTGTGCTTTGCTATGTTTGTCTGGAAAAATTTAAGTGCGCTATTATCAATAGTAATTAATAATGTATTAGTTGTAGGTATAACTGTTTTGCTGCACAATGGACACAACACAAAAAACACAATAAAAAACAGAACATGTCTGGAATAGAAACGTATTACACCATATAATACTTTATAAAACATTTTACATTAACTCATTTGAAAATATTTGCTGCATCTTTTCAAAGAATCTGTAACTACTTTCCAAAAGGCACTCCATTCATTGCTTGGGTAGATCTCAGGTTTCCCCTCTCCCAGTAGGGTCAATTGCATTATTCTGTCTCTTTCCTTATTTAGACATAAATATTAAAGTCTTCTCTCTTCCTCCCAGGGTAAAACTCCTGAACCTCTTAGCTTGTGAATGCTAGCAGAATGGTAGGACTCCAGAGCTGTGATTTTTTTTTTTTTTTTTTTTAAGATTTATTTACTTTAGAGAGAGAGAGTACGTGCACTTGAGGGAGTAGTGGCAGAGGGAGAGCGGGGGAGAGAATCCCAAGCAGATTCCCGGCTGAGCTTGGAGCCCCATGCCGGGCTTGCTCATACCAGCCAGAGATCACGGATGTGAGCCGGAAATCCAGAGTCCCACGCGTTAACCCGCTGAGCCACCCAGACGCCCCCGGAGCTGTGATTTTTGAGTTTAAATAATGACGTGGTGCCTGGAAGTCAGTTTGAAGTCCACGTCCTGTTTATCTGGGACCTTATTATTATCATCATTTTTTTTTATATAACAGACTCATTCATGTCGATTCATTTTATGACTATTACCAAAATAGGACTTAATATTTCTTAGGAGAATGGGCCACACAAGGGCTTTAGGAAGAGAATGTAACATGTTAGCAACATCAGTCGATTAAATATTGATGCTATGGCCCAAAAAGGACAACCTTAAACTTCTCTTGCCAAGTCAAATTCCAGTTTCTTCCTACTCTTTCTTCTGATTCTTTACTTTCTCTTTGGCTGAAATTAGAAGCAAGGGAGCAGAGAAACGAAACCAGAGGTTGACCAAGAAGAGGGAAGCCACACAGACAGATCGTGTCTGCGATTTTATCCTTCGCTTTCACCCAGGGTCTGAGCGCTCCCAGCAGAAACGAGGATCCAGTCGAGGGTAGGGTCACGACCAGGGTCACGCCGACTAATTTTACAAAGCGGCCTGAGCTGCTACCGCAGGTACCCACCCCCGAACCCCTCCTCCCGCGGAGGTCAGGGACATCCCCTGGCCGGGCCCTGGTCTCCCCACCCACCTCCCCAGCGGGCTCGCGGCCGGCGCGCGGGCACGGCCTCTGACGGAGGGCGGGAGTGCGCTCGGCCGCCGCGCCATACTCTTGCCCGCCGGAAGGAGCGGCGGCGCCAGCGTCCTGCCGCCTGTCCGTCACGCAGCCGCCCACGCCGCCGCCGCTTCCGATTGGTCGCAGTTCCGGGCCAGGCCCCTTGAGGCCCCGCCCCTCGCGGATGGACCGGCCGGGAGGGCGTGGCAGCGGCGGGCGGGTCCGCCCAGCTGTCAGTTACGGGGGCGGCCCGGCCGGCGGGCGGGCGCTCGCAGGCTACCTCGTCGCTCGCTGGCGCGCGCTCCCTCTCGACGCCTGTGGGGAAGTCGGGGCCGCCCGAGCGGCTGCCGCCACCGCCTAGCCCCGACCTCCTCCCCCGTCCCTTCCCGACTCAGTCTCTCCCGCTCGCGCACCCCCGAGTAGTGAGTGGTCCCGCGCAGGGTCCGGAGAGTCACCGCGGCGGCCCGGGTGGTGTTTAAACCATGTTTAGGAGGATTTTGCAGAGGGTAAGAGAGTGAAACCGTCTTTCCGGCAGCACGTGAGCGGGAGAGCCCGAGCCCGGGGCTGCGGGCGCCGCCGCCGAGCTGAGGAGCCGAGGCGGCGGCGCGGGTGCCGCTCCTTAGCGCGGGCTCTCCTTCCTTCTGTAGGCCCCGCAGCCCGGGAGGTGGTTAGGCCTCGGCCGTCCGCCCCTGGGGCGGGCCGCGGGGGCAGGGAGGGCGGGTGGGGCGGCGGCGGCGGCGGCGGAGCAGGCAGGCTGGACCCCTGGCGGGCGCCGAATCCCCGGCGTCCCTGCGCACTCAGGCCCGGCGCCGCGCTCTTGAGCGCGGGGCTGTCAGTGAGACGGGCGGCGGGGCGGGAGGGTGTGGTGCCGGCGCGTTCCTTCCAGCTCCGGGAATGGCAGTGCAAATGCAGAGTTAGTGCCTCCAGCCGGGTGGAGAGCGCCCCGTGGGAGATTGCGGGAGGCTTGCTCAGCCTCTCCACCCTCCCCGCCCACCGCGCCCCCAACTTTGCACGCACCTGCCACATTCGGCAGCGGTTTTGCTGGGGAATGTGGTGAACCCCGGCCTAGCTGGGGCCCAGTCGTGGTACCGACACTTACTGGCAAAATCAGCTGAGAAGGAAGATATTACTCACTGTTGGAAACTTTTCTTTCCCCCAATTAAAAATGCGTTTCGCCCTCTCAGCCCAGAACCTTCTTTGAGCTCTCCAAGAATAAATTCGCAGTAAGCTTCATCCAGTGATAGACACTTACTCCTTCACTTTCTGCCAGTGTGGGAAAGCAGGCAAAACCTTTAAGATATAGAGACAAGAGCATTGGAAAGCCTTATGTGTATTGTGTAGAAATCAGTTCGTAGGCTGATAGAGTATCATTTCCTACAAGAGTTGCTGTACTCAAGGTTTTGTTTTTGAGAGCCACCCCTCCCCCCTTTTTTTAACTGATAGGGTGCAACAAAATGTAAATGATTGGAAAGTTGGGGCTAACCTCGGTTGGTTACTGAGGGAGTAGAATAACTAGTTCAAAGGACAAAAGAAATTAGTGAATTTGTAGTATTGAGCCAAGGAATGTGCCAAAGACAGTTGAGTCATCCACTATATGGGAAGGGAGGGAGTGTTCTTGGCTCCTGCATAGCTTTGTGAAATGTTCAAGTCATGTGAAACTTGGTCATGTATCAGGGGAGAAATAGTTAACTTGTGTATCCACCACCCTGTATTGACATATGAGGATTTTTTTTGCAGTGGTTTTGTCAGAGTTTTTTTAAAATCTTGATAAGCCGATGATTTTGGCAATAGCAAGGGCATGCCCTTTACTCTTGCCATCAGTTCTTGTGTTCAACTGTAAAGACATCTGTGCATGATTTACTCGTTGTACTTGGAGATTGTTCTTCCTTCAGACCTGGAGGAACTGATTACCTCATGCCTCAGACTGTGTTTTTGTCATAGTTCCACATCTGAAAATTAGTTTGCCTATGGTTTGCTTTGAAGTTTATAAATAAAATAAAGTGTTTACTGACTTAGGAGTAGCTTCTGGTAGGGGCGCCTGGCTGGCTCAGTTGGGGGAACATGCGACTCTTGATCTTGGGGTCATGATTTTCATCCTCATGTTGGGTGTAGAGATTACTAACAACAACAACAAAACAAAAAACAAAACTTTGAAAAAAAAACAATACCTTCTGGTAGTTACAGATTAATTTTCAGAAGTATGGGATGCTTTCCAGTACTCTTGGTTTAATGTTGTTAAGCATTACCATTGTATAAGGACCGCTTTTATATAAAGACTGTGTGTTGGTGCATACACAACAGTTACAGAAGTTTCAATTGAAATTGCAGAATTGGAATTGTGATTATTGCTGAGATGTGATATGGGATCATCACAGATGAATAAGTTACTTGACAACTGACTTTCTTAACCAAGGCACTACTGATGTGTGACTGGATAATTCTTTGTTGTGGGGAGCTGTCCTTTTGCATTCTAAGATATTCAGCAGCATCCCTCTGGCTTTTACTCACTTCATGCCAGTAGGACCCCCTTCCCCCATCCTTTTCCTCTTTTGTGACAGCCAAAATTATCTTCATGCTTTACCGTATGTTTCCTAAGGACAAAATTGCTCCTGATTGAGAACCACGGTGTTAAATGTGTATACTCTTTTACAGGAAAATTTGAATTGTTTCTCATAGTTACTTAACTTTTTTCCCTTTTGTATTTGTGGTGAGTGTCAGTAAACACCAAATGTATGCAAGGGACTGGGAAGCAGTTAATAAGGTGTGGGTCCTCCCTTTAAAACTCATAGCCAGGTAAGGGGAAGTGGACATCTAAAAGTAATTACAGTGCTCTGTAATAGAAGAATGAAGACTGCCCAGAGTGCTGCTCTGTGTGAGGGTGTTGGGACCATCAGGACAAGCTTCTGGTTGGAGGTCATATTCCCAGCTCCAAAGAAGGAAGAGGATGTCGGGCAGAGAGAACAGCAAATGCCAAGGCATGAAGTCATGAAAGGGGCAGGTAATAGTAGGAAGAATGTGAACAGTTAAGTTTAGGAAGTGAAATGATGTGTAGAGATGAAGCTGCAGGGTAGCTACAGACTAGATCCTTAGAGGACCTGGAGTCCCTTCAGAGGAGTTCAGCTTTTGGCTTGCAGATGGGTCAGTGTTAAATCTCAGCGTTTAATAGGGGCATTTTGATCAAAGCCTTAAAGAAATCTGGTGATTTGTGTGGGCATTTTGATGAAAGCTTTAAAGAAATCTGGTGATTTGTATTACTAGTTTAGAACCTACAATTATATTTATTAAGTCCACAGGTGGTATTTACTAGCAAGTATAACTAGAATCTTTACATTATGTTATATTACGTTAATGTATAAGATAATCTTATTTCTTAGCAGAGGTAATAAGATACAAGATTAAGATGAAAGTTGCTAATTTATTCGTTTGAAATGGGCTCTGTGCTTTGAAATTATATTGCATTCCTTTAACATTCTGTTTTTAGATGACCTTTTCCTTTTAACTGCTTGAATAGTGTTCTTTAAAAAGCATTTTTGAAAGAAGTTAAAGACAATGTCCTTACAATCACTTGTAACTCAGAATGTTTGAACATCACCAGTAAGGTCCCAGTGGTATTTTACAGAAAATTTGTTTCTGGTTTTTCTCCTCGTGCTTCTCTTCCTTTTCCTCCTCCTCCTCCTTTTTTTCCCATTAGCTTACTAAAGTTGTTTCTGAGGCTTGAAAGGGTCTGAATTAGAAAAAAAAATGTAAGGTAGCTCCAATATGTATGTATTGACTGTTTTGCTTAATGGTCCTTTGAAGAGAACTATGAATTTAAAGTGCTTGATGACCATGGGGCGCCTGGCTGGGCCATCCTGGAGCATGTGACTCTTGATCTGGGGAGGGGGGAGTTTAGGTTCCAGCCCCACACTGAAAGTGGAGATTACTTAAAAATAAAATCTTTAAAAGAAAGAACAAATAAAGTGCTTGATGACCAGAATAGATGATCAGTACTTAGTACTTTAGGCAGTTTATAAACTTTATTGCTATTTCTTTCTTAAAAAATTTATTGTGTTTTAGATTTCCTTTCACTGGTACATTTTAGCAATGTTATTACATTGCTAAAGAAAAAAATGTGTTTAATTATTATAGAATTGTAGAAATAAAAGGCTTTTTTTTTTTTTTTTTTTTTTTTTAGTGGTCAACAGGTCTTACCTGATTTTAAAAAGGAGGAAGCAGAAACAGATTAACTGATTTATCTAAGGCAACACAGTAGATGTCAAAACTGAGACAAGAGCCAGATTTTCCCAGCACAGTCCATTTCCCCTTTTTCTGGCACCTTGTTGCCCTTTCTCCCACTATTGAAATTGATATGGTTAGCACTGTGCTAATCACTGTGGAAGATATGGGGAAAATATGAGACCTAACTTTTTCCTAAAGGATATAATTAAGTCCCAAAGAAAATGATAAAGAAAATGAAGCCTGTAGTAGGACAGAGGAGGAAAGATCAGAACCAGCCTGTGTGAGCAGGGAGTCTGCTAGGAGAAAATGAACATGAGATGGGGTTTTGAAGAATGTGTGTGTTTAAGAGATGTCCTAGAAAGTTTCTTTTTAGGAAGGACTAACAGTATAAGTAAAGATGTAGAGATGGGAACAAGTTCATTCTTCCTGCCCTCCCTCCTTCCTTTGCATCTAGCCTTTTAATAAACATATTTATAACACTTGGTATATGCTAGAAACTGGGGATGCAGCAATGAATAAGATACAGTCCTTGCTGTCAGGTAGCTTCAACAAAGTGACTTTTAGAGATAAGAGATATGTTCAGAGCAGAAAGAAATTGAGAAGGACATTTACAAAGATAATGTGGCACCCCATTGCGGAGATTCTTGATTGTCTAGCTCAGCCCTGTTCAATGCAAATGTGAGTTACATACATAATTTAAAGTCTCTCTCAAATAAGTAAAACAGTAAAACAGGGGGCACCTGGGTGGCTCAGTCTGTCAAGCAGCCAACTCTTGGTTTCTGCTCAGGTCATGATCTCAGGATCTTGGGATCCAGCCCTACTGGATCTGTGCTCAGCAGGGAGTCTGCTTGTGATTCTCCCTTTTCTCCCCCACCCCATGGCTCACAAGCTCTCTCTCTCAAATAAATAAAGTTTCTAGTAGCTACATTTAAAGTAAAAAGAGGTGAAAGTAATTTTTAAAATATGTATTTTTTGACCCAATACATCTAAAATATTCAACATGTAATCAATATAAAAATTATTAATCAGATATCTTAAATTCCTTTTTTTTTTTTTTTTTTTGATTAAGTCTTTGAAATCTGGTAAACCTGGCGATTCACAGACCTGTACCCCTGGGGATAAAAATATATTATATGTTTAAAAAAATAAAATTTATGAAATCTGGTGTATGTTTTGCATGAGCAGCATGTCTCAATTTGGACTAACCATATTTCAACTCTTCTACAGTCCCATGTCACTAATGGCTGTTGTATTGGATGGTGCAGGTCTAGTTGAATTCATACATAAT